ACCGAGCCGCGGGACGGGCCGGGCGGAGGGAGACCCCGCACGAGGGAACGGCACCGCGCGTGGAGTACCGAGAACAATTAGAAAATAAACTAAACGAAGAGGAGGGTGTGGGCGTCACACGGCGCGACCGGGCGAGGGACGGAAGGGAAGGCACGTGGCGCTGAGGAGAGGGCTCGGGACACGTGGTGGATTGCGAAGAGGGCAAGTATCTCCTCTACATTGTGGAGATCCTGCAGGAAAGAGAATTCACCTTGTTGAGGACCAGGATCACCTTCCATGTGGTCAGGAAGGGGATTTGGAAGCTACTATTGGTGTCCTGCGGTATCTCCTAGCGGTGAGGTTAGGGGTGGTGCGTGTGGGTGGTGCAGTGCAGGCCGCGGTCAGGTGTCAAAGATTTGTTTTTCAGGGTAAAAAGTGCACGTTTTCTTTGGGTTTTGTGCCTGTTTCTGTCCGGTTTTTATGCTACCAATTTACCTCTATTTTATGGTATCTGTCCATGATCTGTCTATGGTTTTGCTCTTTTCCATGTGGTGTAAATCTGTAGTGTTGGCCCCTGTGATGAACTGATTAATGTAGAGAATGTCACTATTTTTTTTTTTTTTAAGTCAGGCAGCATGAGTAGAAAGAAAGAGTTCTCCTTGTTGAATGAGAGGGATGAAAAACTTAAAAGAAAAATGAAATCCATGAGGTAAGTGAATTTTGAGCTAGTGGTTTTTATATTTTTAAGTTCTGATGGTATATAATTATCAGGAAATAGAATTATGAAAATGTAGAAAATGTGTTCTGCAGTGTTGCAAGTGAGTTCATTTTTATGTGTTATATATGTGATTAAAATGTGCAGTTGCTATAAGGTTTTAGCATTTGGAGTAGGTTCATGGAAAAAGACATTTTAAATGCAATTTGATATGTTGTTAAATACTGAGTTATTAGGTTACCAATACATCATATTGATCTGTATGTATTTTTTACAAATAAATAAATCACTGTTGGTCTTTTCAGTATATTTTAATTCAGTAACTAGAATGAACGTGATTCAAACTGATAATGTAACAATTTATTAGAGCTGGTTCTAGTTACCTGAAATACTGCATACCTAAAAGCTGTAGTACCACCTTTATGCAAGATGAATTCATTGTCATGGAGCTAAAAGTACTTATCCAGTTAAAAGAAGGCAACAGATTTGGTGTGGAGTGTGTTTCATTACCTGCACTTTCCTCATAATCTCTTTTGATAAAAGTGGGCAAGCTTAGTTCTGAGAGAGTTGAAAGTTAGGATTGGTGTCTAGTTGATACCCCTAATGGTCCTAAACCTTTCCATTCACTTCTGAAGGCACTCAGCTAAGCTACAACAAGAGGATTTTACAGAACCAAGTCAGAGAGACAGTGATTTGTGTCGTATGTCAAAAACTGTGAGTGTGGGAGGTAAGGCTTTTGGATCTTTTATTTCCAGGAGTTTTGTAGTGTGCAGTATTCCCTGTTGATTGGTGTTTTATGTGGTCTGTTAAGGACAGTAGATGGGCTGCCAGATTTAACAGTTTGTTCATTTACTACATTTCCAGTAATTAGCAAGACCAATCAATACCTTTTGTTTCCTCTCCTGGTGTTTGTCTTGACAAAGCTGTTGACAAGTTTGTTTTAAAAGAAACTTCATTTTTCTGGGATTTTCTGCTTGAATAGCTTTTTTCCAAGAGCTGCAAAATTGTATTGAGTACATAGTATTTATGAGTGCTTTATGAAACAGGTTTTTTTCCCTGTACTATAGGTACACATTTCAAATGTGCGTTTTTGTTTGCCTTTTTGCTTTCCTTTTCATGTGTTTATCCTGTCCTGAATGTAGCAGCAACATAACATAGCTAATGAGGCAAATAATACCCTAATCATTAAGTGCAAGATAATTTCTATAGCTATTTATCTGAACATCTATTCCTAGCTGTCAAATACTGTCATTAAAAATTCAGTGCTCAAATTCCCGTTGACTCAATGAATACTATCTGGAGGACTACCCCAGTGATAATGTATTCCTGTTGTCTCATGGATTAGGATGCCCTACACTTAACAGCATGTGCAGTTAAATGTTTTCTGTTACTGCTTTTACAGCATTTTGTGATGATGTGAAGGATGAAGACACTGATTTTTTCTGTTTCTCTTCAACAGAAGTAAGTTATCTAAAGCTTTCTGTTCTGTAGTCATTGTGGGGTCTGAAATAGTGATATTATGGGATCTTGTGCATTTTCACTAGAAGTGATTAAAGCATGCTCAGGACTCCTATGAGCTAAGGGCCTGTACTTCCTGACCACTTACTCCCCAGCAAGTGTTTACTAGCATTTCTTGTTATGTAGCATGGCTGTGTGGTGCACATCAGATGTCCAAAATCTGGTTTTAGGAAGCTTTATTGTTAAAATTCTCATTAGTGCCCCATGTTCCATGTGCCAGCTGTGTTCCATCCTCTTGTCTGCACATAATGTGCAAAAATGCAACTGATGCATATGTACATTTTCTGTCAGCTCCCACATAAAAGGACTTGTTTTCATAAAAATGATTTGACTTTGCCCAGTAGTGTATAAGTTGTGAATATGTTTTTTGTTTCTACATTTGTAAAAAATTGCCCTGTCTGTGGCTCTTCTGTGTTATGACATGGTGATGGCATTTCTTATACAGAGATCTGTACTTTGGACAAACATAAAGTGCCTATTTTGGTTTAAGTTATGCAAAACTAGAGTGTGTCCAGACTGTTTTTTCTCTTTAAGAAATTCAGATTTAGCATTTATTACAAAGCACAAATAAGTCAAATCTTTGGAATTTAAGCCCTGCAATTAAGCTTTATTGAAGAAGTAAGTTGTAGTCTGGTTCAGTAGTGCAATATGCTCCAGCTTTTGCATAACAGTGGGAAAAATAACCAAGTGCAAACAGGGAATCAGGATTTCTTTTACTAGGGAGACTTTTTATTTATCCTAAAGGTGTACTGATGACTACAGAACTACTGCTTCGAAGTTTTTTCCTTAGAACTCTCCTTGATCAATTCAATAGCAGTTGGCTTTGAAACTTGGTCTAATTGAATTGGGGGGTGGGGTGCTGAACGTGAAGTCAGATTTATATAAATTTTTGCCTGGGACTTGGCTGTAACCCTGTATTTGAACTTGCTTTCCTTTTTTCCTCTGAATATAGACCAAAACTTACTTTAAACTTGGGCTGTCTGGTGACAACTCAGAAAGACTTGCAAGGTAAACCTTTATTTAACCTTATTTCTGTGTTTAGATGCCAGACTGGGGTAGGACTTGACCAAGAAAGCATTTTGAGACATTTTTCTTGGGCTGATTTTCTTTTTAATGTGTTCTTTAAACCATAGTGTGCTCTCAGTATGAGTGTCTAGTACTGTGGGAACACATTCAGTACAAATAACATTTCATTGCAAGGCAAAAATAAACAATAAATTGGTTTTGCTTGAAAGTGTTTGAAACCGAAAGCTTTAAGCACTGTGGTAAATCACTGATAAGGGTTCAGAAGAAGAGATCTGCTGAAATGCCAGGATGTGGTAGGGAGTGTATCATTGAAGCACCTCCTTCCCCCCACTCCCTGCTGATTCCATTGCACCTGCTGCTTAGATAACCAGTCGCAGCCGTAAAGATGCCAGCAGTGTTCTGTGGTGTTGTCATATCTAAATTATATTCACTTGCTTATTAGTTGATGTGAACTTGAAGTTTAAAGTGGCTGGTTTTCCCCCCATGGTTATTGCTGTTATGGCTGAAGAAAAGTGGCAAAGTAAACTCCTGAACACTACTTAGAAGTGTTAAAAAGCAGATCATTCTTTATTGCAGGACACTGGGCAGGAGGATCATTCCTCTAGTCAGGCACACCTGCACAAAAGGTTTGGCACATTTTATGGCTAGGGTCATGACATATTCATTAGCCATTTCTTCCTAATGATACATAACACATTAGGCTATTTGCATGGCCACATCCTTATCGGAAGTCCCTATTTGGTGTTGGAGGGTTTTCTCAGAGTCCCCCCGTGGTTGTTGGTGTCTTGCACAGTGTCCATTGTTTGATCTCAGCCTTCTGGTCACACTCAGTTTATTGGTGGTCATTTCAAACATACTCTTTTAACTGCAGAGCTGGCTCCTAGTTTTACTTCCTTATCTGCCTTGATTTAGTACACTAATTTCCTATGTATCTTAAGTTGCTTCCCTAGTTTACTTTCTAAGGCCCCTGTGGTTCCCTTTGTCCAAACAAGGAGCCTTATGTTCCATTTGTTTAGACAATGAGCTTTATGTTCCTTTGATCACCGTGAGGATTAATGTTGATACAAACGAGAATCAGCCCAGATAATTCTTACTGGTATATTACTAAGAGACCTGTTCTGTAAGGAAGGTGTAGGAAACTTACCTTCTGAAATGGGCACATGTAACAAACATTACTAACTTTGCCCAAAGTGAAACAAACTCAAGATTTTGTCTGGCTGTTGGTCTCTGCAGCAGTGTTCTCCACATTCTCTTACAGTCAGTTAGAAGCAACAAACAGCACAGGAAGAACAATACAGTGCTTCCTTCCTGTCTGTAATAAGGCTGGTTTATGCAGACTGGTGTTGGGAGAGACTTGGCAGCTGGTGCAGAACGGCAAGTATGGAGGAATCATAGAATTTTAGGGGTTGAAATGGACCTTAAGAGATCATCTAGTCCCAAACCCTCCTGCCATGGGCAGGGACACATTCTACCAGACCAGGTTGCTCAAGGTCTCATCCAGCCTGGCTTTGAACACTGCCAGGGTTGGGGCATCCACTACCTCCCTAGACGACCTGTTCCAGTGTCTTACCACCCTCACAGTAAAAAACTTTTTTCTAATATCTAACCCAAATTTACTCTCTTTCAATATGAATCCATTACCCCTTGTCCTGTCACTGCTGCTCCTAACAGTCATACAACATGCAGCAATCATACAACAGAATTAGGAGTCTTCCTAACAGGTTGCCAGTAGATGGTTTTAATATCATTTGTTGTGTATTCTAAAGATTTTTACAACCTAATCAGTGTCTGATGGAATATCTGAAAATAAAATATTTGGGCATCAAATGAAAAATGAATCCTGGAATGTTACTAGTCGTGCATTTGCTCTCACTGAAGATAAGAATCACTACCAGCTACTAAGGTTTTGTTTAGCCTTGCCAAAATTGTCGCATGAAAAATAGTTCCTTTTAGAGAGTTCTAGTAGAAAGGAATTTTACTGAAAAGAGAGATTATCTGCTTCATAACACAGTGTGAATTCAACTGTTTCAAAAATTGGTGTTTGTATGTATTTAATGATAGATTTTTTCAAATACTCATGTGTGTAAAGTTTTCATAGGAAGTTTGATATTTTTTTAAAAAATGTGTAGGGTTTTTTCCTTAAAATATTCTGGTTTGCAGGCCCTTCAGTCACAGTACTGAAGAGAGAAACGTTCAGCACCCATTTCCTCCAGATGGTGGGCTATGGGATGAACCAGCTCTGACTCCATCAGCTGCCACGGTGTGTTAACATGGAATTTCCTTGTATTCTCACTTGTTGGTTTTGTATATGCATAGTTAATCCTGCACTTCTGAAAACACAGAACCCTGCAGCTGTAATTGTTGTGTGCTGTTATTCCCTCTTACCATAAAACTGATGTGCAGCTACAGTGTTAATAAAATACCTTGACAAAATGAGGGCACCTCAACCCCCCCAACAAGATTGTGGCTGAGGAGGGCCAGTTGTGATCAGCTGGCTGTGAAATTGAGCTTGTCTTAAAAGACTCCCCAGGATTCACAGTATTTGGGTTTGGTACTCCCTTCTTTGTTTTTCACTTTGAGACAGCTGCAAGGCTTATGACCAGATCCTTAAAGAAGTAGCTCGGAGCAACAGAGTTGTTGGACTAAAGAATCTCTCTTTAAACATTTTATTAGATTTTCTAACCTGATCTTTCTGAATGAGGTTTGTGAAGTTTTAGGGCAGGTGAACTAATATTGTGGATATTTTTTAATGACAGAGTAGGCTGTGAAGGGATGGTACATCCAGTACCAGTTCTGTTTTCTTCTATGTAGATTGTCCTGTTCACTGACCTTGAAAGAATCGTAACTTGCAAATGTTGAAAACCTTGGTTTCTTAAGTAGCTTTGTCCTAGTGCCTGTTAAAAGTTTGGAAATGGTTTTCTTGCATCAGCATAACACTGGAAGCTTACTACATTTTTTGCTTGTTTTCCCCAATCATATTCCTAAATATTTTACTTTTTTTCTAGGCTGCAGTATTCCCATTCCTCAGTCTTCCACATTTCCTTTCCTCTGTATTACTGACTTTATTTTGATTTTCCTTCATGTACTCTTTTCATTTGGTTTTCATGTGTGCAAATAAATTGCATGTATTTAGAAAACAAATTTGCAGTCTGTTTCAGGAATACTACAGTGTAAATGTTCTCGGTGTAATTCAGGTGAGCAAAGTATTTTGGGCCAGTTTGCTGCTATAGAGCTGCTCAGAGCCTTGCTGAGAGCCTTACACAGATCCTCAGTCATGCATATCAAATATTAAATTCCTCTTTCAAAATGGCAAATGGTTGTAGCTCATCTTGTCTTACGCAAGCAACTTTATATTCATTGGCAAATCTTTCCCCAGCAGAACGACACTGGGGAAGATCTTGATGAAGCTTTGTGCATAGCTCTTTATAATCTTGGCCACTTCCATGGTGCAGACAAGGTGGGTGAAAATAAGTTAAATAAATGATCAAATATGAAATCCTGTCCTTGTTTGAAGCTCTTCGTTATGAACAGGCTATTTGGTTTGATGCCTCTTTTGTCTTTCAACTGTTTATGCTCTTCTGTGAATGTACAGCCTTTAAACTCCAGGCTATAGCCTGCAGAGGTAGTCTGTAAAGGAGCACACCAGCATGTAGATAATTTAAAATTATGAGGTCAGTCCATATATTTAGCATAACTATAGGTAAGACAGTCTTCAAGTATTAAGTTTGTGTTTCTGTGGATCGGGGTAAAATCCAGCATTTGTTTTTGCTCTAGAAACTGTGCTAACTTTATAGTTCTAATGTGCCTCTCTAAAGGTAGAAAAGAAATTATGTGGGCAACAGAACTAAAAAACTTAACAGACAGAATATACAAAAGCACGTAAATCCAGTAATACATTTTTGTGCACAATGTAAAACAGAGGAAGGATCCGAAAGTATTGTATAATGCTGTTAATAGGTTTTATTGAGTAACTTTTGAATTTCTCCAATTATAACTGATGAAATTTTGAGTTGAAATTATGAGTCATCAGCATGCTCTGGCAGCCAGGAGGGCCAGCTGTGTCCTGGGGTGCATCAGGCAAGGCATTGCCAGCTGGTCAAGGGAGGTGACTGTCCTGCTCTACTCTGCACTGCTGGAGCCTCACCTTGAATATTGTATGCAGTTTGGGGCACCACAATATAAGAAAGATATTAAGGTATTAGAGAGCATCCAAAGGAGGCAATGAAGATGGTGAAGGGCCTTGAGGGGAAGCCATAGGAGGAGGGGTTGAGGGCACGTGGTCTGTCCAGCCTGGAGAAGAGGACACTGAGGGTAAACCTCATCATTGTATACAACTTCATTGTGAAGGGAAGTAGAGGGTCAGGCACTGATCTCTTCTCTCTGGTGACCAGTGACAGAACCCAAGGAAATGGTCTGAAGCTGTGTCAGGGGAGGTTTAGGCTGGATGTTAGGAAGTGGTTCTTCACCCAGAGGGTGGGTAGACACCCTGAGGGTGGAACAGGCTCCCCAGGGCAGTGGTCACAGCTCCAAGCCAGACAGAGTTTGAGAGGTGTTTAGACAATGCTCTCAGGCACATGGTGTGATTCCCGGGGATGTCCTGTGCAGGGCCAGGAGTTGGACTAGATGATCTTCAAGGGTCCCTTCCAACTCTGATTATTCTGTGATTCTGTAATTATTTTATTTCAGCTTGAGCTCTTCCTAAATGTGCTATAAAAAACCCTTGCAGTTCTGTCTTTGCCATTGATTTACTTTATGTGTATTCTAAGATACACAGGCAGAGAAGTATTTAATGATTCAAAAGCTTAGTTCTAGTGAGCAATGCATGAAGTGTCTTTAAAGCCTGCTCTCCATTCCCTTTCTGACTTGTTTTGTTGCAGTGGCCAGTCTGTCTACTAAAAAAAAAGCTATGTTGAATTCCTAATTCATATACTAATAGCATCTTTTAAAAACCTACCATTTCAGCAGCTCTGATATAATAACTCATGTTCACAACTGTGGTCTTGCAACAGCTTTTCAACAAAGACTGAGAATTTCCAATGCAGTCTTGCATTACCAAATCTTTTAATTTTTATTTTGCACAGTCTCTTCATTGAAGGTAACTATAGTGACAAAACTGATGCTTAGCCAAAGGAAGAATGTTTTTCTTTTCCTTTACTCTCACTGTGAGTTTTAAAGACAAAGGTAGAACTCTCAGCTGTTAGTTATCTGTGTGTGGTGCTGTGTTTGACTGGCAAGTAAGAAATTGTGGAATTTATTAAAAATAAATAAGCAGAATAATGAAACAATAATGAATATGGAAATAATAAATGCTTATTTATTCCCACTGAACAAAATAGGTGCTGGAATACTTGGAATTGAAAGTGAAGCGCGAAAGAGACAAAGTTACAGAAACTGCAGAGAGAACATTTCAGGAACTTATTAATCTCTTGTTAAGGTAATAATCTAGTTTTCTAGTATGGCACAGGTGAGTTACTCTTATTAAGAAGCTGCTTCTAATTCAGGTAAAGGAATTTTAAACAAAATTTTGGTCTTTCTGGTAGCATTATTTCATAATACCTGTCCTTCATTTTTGTGTGATATTTTTGCCCTTTCATAGTGGCATCTTGAAGCTGGTTTGCATGGTTGGAAAACATCAGCTTATGCAGCTTCTGGTCTTAAAAAATAAGGAAAAATAGCCATAATGTTTATTTTCTGAAAAAGCTCCATTTTGAGGAGTTTTTTTATACTGTCATTAATGGAATAACGTTTTTTTAATCGGCTTTCTGCAAATTTTGGAGCTGATAGAAGCCCAAGGAGATTTTATTTCTTAATTTTCAAAAGTATTTGTATTTTCAGATTTAAGGGAGAGAGGAGTGTCAAAGCTTAGGTGTCCAGAAGAGCTTCTGAGAAGGGGATCTGGTATCTTAACAGACTGAATTGTGAAATCCAACTGTTTAGTTTTCAGTTGGATGTCTGTGGAAATATCAGGAGGCTTAAATGGAAGAGTTCTTTTAACATTCCATGTTTCTCCTAACAAGGTGGCTTTTCAGTGTGGACTCTTAACTTTTGTGGTTCCTCCAATTACAAAATGCTTTTCCCATGCTTCTACTTAGCACTATTTAGGGAAGATGATCTTGTTGTGGGAGATGTATCTACTTTGTGCTGTGGTATGACTTGTAACTGTATGTTACAATTCAAGTTTGAATCTGTACAGCTGAGTGCTTATTAAGTTCTGAAAAGTCATGTTTTTAATACAGGAAAAAGAAATTGTTTGCAGAATTGGTGGAGAACATCAACAGCTACGGAGATAGTATTGTAAAAGCTAAGGAAGCCCTTGAAGAGAAGAAAAAGCGTTTGATTGGTGCTATTAGGACTGCAAAGGAAGTTAAATTTTCGCATTCCCCAAGAAACTCTTGTGATCTCACTCGGGTAGTTATATTCTTGCCTTGTGAAATAATTTTTTTAAGGAATATGTTCAAATTTGGATGGAAAGTTTCTGTGATCCCCATTTGCTGACTTCATTATGGGCGTTTGTGCAGTAATGTACTCTTACCCCACCTTTACACACAGAGAGTTTATATTTGTTCTTAGTCACAACTTGCACCCGGTGACTGATGTAAAACAAAAAGATGGTTCTTGCCTTGAAGAGCTTGCTGTCTGAAACAGCAGATGGAGGGGAGGACAGGAAAACTGACACAGTACCAATAAGTGAAAGGGTGGCGTTTTCATCACTTCAGAAGTCTTTCGAGCCTTTTTCCATTCCAAGGCTCTCCAACCTTCTCACTGAATTGCTCCAGAATTAATAGCCACATTCTCCTGATCCTCTTGGTCCCAGACCTTTACTTTTCATTTTTCCTCCCCATCATATCTACTGTTAATAGAAACCCACGTTACCTGCCATGCTGTGTCAGACCAAAGATTCATCCTGCGAACTCCTCTGTCTCTGACAACAGAGAGGAAAAGATGCTTGGAGAAAACATCTAAGAAACTGGGCATTTATTGAGTGTAGGTAGTTGAAGGTTAAGGATTTTATAATCACTAGGATACATTAGGGTTGTTACACTCAATCAGACTTGCTCGTTCTGTCATAAGCTTGTGTTACACTTCCCTGAATATCTTCATAAAGCTTGTGGCAGTGTGCATGGGTGTCCACATATGAGCATTATATGTATGTATTCATATATAGTGACAATAAGTTCCACATTTTGCTATTTAAAATGGGATATAAATATAAAATAGGTCCCTCTGTTCCTTCAAAATGTGCCACATAGTTATTTTGTTTGGAGCCTTTGTAGTCCTTGTGTTGAGAAAAAGAATGAAAATTTGGTCTCCTCGTTCTCTGTGTATTGTGGACTCATGTTCCTTGCATCCAGTTGTCACTTTCCATATCAAGAAACTTAGTCTTTCTCAACTGACCCAGAAAGAAGTCTAATTCCACCTTTTTTTTTCTGTCATTTGCCCCCGTTTTACTCGGTGTGGGTTTTGGGGATTTTTTGGGGAACTGACAGGCACCACTGTCCTCCCATAGGCCTGCTGCCTTACTTAGAAGTCACTTTCTCATTAGCTATTGAAACAGAAGGATAATCTCATTTCTACTTCTTTTTACATGCTAATATTACACAATCCCAATCATTAGGGTCTTAGCAAGGTAAGGAGACATATTTGAGAATTGGCTACCGGATAAACTCTTGAGGGTTTTTCCGTAAAATAAAGGTGTCATGCTCTGGCTTTGTTGTATTGTAGGTAATAGGTGTCTGTGTAATCTAATTTCTGTGTAATGGAAGCTAAGACTGTACTTCTTCATTTCAGGTTATTTATGATTTGAAGTTGTCAGTTGAAGCTGAGCTCTCAAGAGTGGACAATTTGAAGGAACAAATATTTTCAAGGTAAATGACTGAAGTGGGAGATATATTGGGAGGCAAATGGATGCACTGGTTACCTTAATTGCAAAAACTTGTTTGTATAACTGTTAAACATCAGAAATTGAGCTGCTTCACTTGCAGTACTAGTTTAGGTATATATAAATTTATTGTTAATATATAATAGGTTTCATCTGAGGCAAAAGAGGAAAACTCATACAATTTACTGCTATGTAGACAAATACATAGGCTTTTTAAAGTTTCTTGACAGACTTCTGCCACTTTGAAACTTCCTCTCCTTCCCTTATGAGTTGAAATAAATTGGGGAAATAATGGCTTAATTTTTTTAAAAATTAATTAGCTTCTGACCTTCAGGAAACATTTAAATGGGGTACTAATGTCTAAGAAGAAATCTGTGGGGGGCCAAGTTGCCCTCATTGGAAGTGGCACATGATTTCTATACCAGAAATGATTAAGACAGTATGTCATGGCTGTGGTGCACCTGAGCCTGTGCAGCTTGGTCATAAGGCTGGTGACAGTACTGTAATCCTAGGCCACATTCACAATCAGAGAAGGAGACACAGAGCAAAGATGGTGCTCGTTTGGAACATCCCACAGATCCCATTATATTTCAGGACATGGAACCACTCTGGGGAATAGGGTGGGAGTGTGCCATCAGATTCTGCCTGGCACAAAGAAATGAAGCTCAAAGTTGATTACTTGCATGCAAAATGTGAACAACTGTCATAGAATCATAGAATCATTTAGGTTGGAAGAAGACCGGAGTCCTACTGTTAACCTAACACTTCCAAGTCTACCTTTACCGTGTTCCTAAGCATAATGTCTTCATGTCTTTTTAAATGACAGAATCATAAAATGGTTTGGGTTGGAAGTGATCTTTAAAGGTCATGTTGTCCAACCCAGCCCCAGTGAGCAAAGAGATCCTCAACTCAGTCAGGTTGCTTAGAGCCCCATCCAACCTGACCTTGAACGTTTCCAGGGATGGGACATCTACCACCTCTCTGGGCAACTTGTTGTGTTTCACCACTCTTGAAAAAAATTTCTTCCTTACATCTTGTCTGAATCCACATTTTTTTAGTTTAAAACCATCGCCCCTCGTCCTTTCACAACAGGCCCTACCAGAAAATTTATCCCTGTCTTTCTGGAAGGCTGCTATAAGGTCTCCTTGGAGACTTCTCTTCTCCAGGCTGAACAGCCCCAACTCTCTCAGCCACATACCTCTAGGCATGGTGATTAAACCATTCCCTGGGCAAGTTGTTCCAACACTAGACAAAAACTAAGATGACTCCTGTCATGTTAGTTGAGTTCTTGTGTGAGAATATGGAGAAGCATCTTCTAGTAAACTTAGGCCTTACCTGCCAAGTCACTATTTTGAAGATAATGGCAGTGATAAATGAGAACTTTGGACAAGCCTATTTAAATGCACAATGGTAAACTCTCACAGCTTAAGAAAGCTAAAACATGACAATATCCAATCTTTCTACATTGGAAAACCTTTTTAATAACCTCAGTGGAACAGGGGGAAAAAAAGACCTGATAAAGGTTGAATATGATGGCCTCACATCCCTTGTACCACTCCAAAATAACACAAAAGGTGAAAAAAATCACAGCTAGGAGGTGCATAGAAGTTGAGGCACATTCTGAAGGGTAGAGATGTTCCTGAAGGGGCAGTGGGAGGGAAGCTCAGGTGGCTTTTCAATACTATATGCACTCCAGTTTTCATAAATTAATTAAAACTGGACAGCAAAGCTGAGGATTTGATTGAAATGATATTTACAGTACTCTTAGCCTAACTGTAGAAGTACTTAAAAGATTTTCTCAGTTTTCCTTGATAAAGAAAATAGTTTTTAGTGTAACAGCAAACAGAATCATACATTTTGGACTTCAGTTGTGGTTTTCTTCTTCAAGAAGAAAAGATAACTCCTTTTTCTCAGTGCAGAATAATTAATTGAACTAAAATGAGTATAGATCTGAAAACTGAGGGAGTACTCAAGTACTCTGTGTATGAGGGAGAGGGCAAATGGCAAGAGAGTTTAAAGTATGAATATAAAGATAAATGAGCAACCAAATCTGTTGTTTATAGGAGTGGAAGAAATAAACTGAAGTAGGTCATTAATCTCCTATTTTGCCCCTCTATGTATACTGTGCTGAAAAATACCTGAGGTCTCAAACTGTCAGAGTGATTTAGGTATTCATGTCACGTTCTATAATGTTTGTTCTCTTTTCTTGAGATTGTTCCCAAACACTTGCGAGAGTCCATCTTTGGTACAACATTTGGGCAAGATGAAATGGGGAACGACAGGGAAGTAAGTATTTCTTTTATGAAAGAGGGTAGGTATTTAGCTGTTCTTCTAATTGTGAAGTATTTATTGGAGATTAAAAAAACCAAAAATTTATATGATTATGGAATTCTAAGAGTATATTGAAACAAAGCAGCACTTCAGATGCTGATATTCAAGCCAGCACTGCAGTTAGTCCAGTTTGTGTTTCAGTGCTGATATTTTGGTTTCACTTGGGTTTCACTCTGGTATATTTCACTGTATCACTTAAATTATCCAGGGGTTTTTTTATGCTGTATGCTTTTCAACTTTGACTGACAAGTAATGATACAATCATAGAATCACTCAGGTTCAATAAGACTTTTAAAATGATCAATTCCAACTGTAGACCTAACACAGCCAAGGCAAACACTAAACCATGTCCCTAAGTGGCACATCTGCATGTTCATAGTACATGTAATAGAGATGTTTAATATTTCAGTATATGAAAGTTGCTTCATTTAAGTGTAAATAAATGTCTAAATTGGACGGCAAATACTGAAATTGATAGTATTTCCAGTTCACAGTCTAAATACTGATTGCATCAAATGCCAAAAGAAATTACTTAAGATTAGAAGGAAAAAAAAGACTTTGATTTTAAAAAATTACAATTGCTTTTAACTTATTAGTCCCCTTTTTTCCTTCTCTTGTGGTCTTTGACAAAACCTTGAGAAAAAGGAACGAAGTTGCTGTTAGGACTGTTGTAGTTAGCACTAATTATGTAAAAAAAAGGCTTATTGCATACTGTAATACCTGAAGATCCTACAGATTATGGTGAAGAGTATCTTAGTGCAAAAGCATCTGACCTACCTTTTGCTTTTAACTAGAACTATCTTATCACATGATTTACAGGTTTTTTTCAAATAATTAGTACCTGTGGTCTCTGGTCATCTAAGCAGGGGTAGCCCTTGTACTGAACTGTATTCAAGAATATGTGCATTTCTGTGCCAGTTCTTTCCAGGTTTCAGAAATCATGGTGATGGTTTTGTTGGCTTGGCGGTGAAAAACTTAACACAGTTTATTTCTAGCAGCTCCTATGAGGTGTTTTTTTAACATAGTGATGCATTCTTACTGAAACCTCTGGTTCGACTCATGTGCTTTTCTGGAAACAGTCTGGATTATGTTAATTTGTCTCCAAATAAAATTTTTCCCAAATGTAGTGAAGATAATGGACAAGGTCCTCTTGTCCATGATGACCCTAAAGAAACAGCTGATGTCATAATAGAAGAAATACTGGAAGATGACTCGGAAGGCAAGTTTTTGAATACTGACACTTTCAAGGTTCCATTGATGTTATTTTTGTGTCTCACGTTATATTGTGTGTTTGTAGTTATAGCTGGGTCATACGAATTCTTTAATGATGTCTGTATTTCAGTTCCTTTGAGCTAGCATTCTTTCTTTTTCATCCTCCTTCAACTTCTCCTAGTGAAAACTTTGTCACAGGCTCTTTCAAAGAGGGGTCATAAATTTCAGTATCTGTCTTGATTATTCTCTTTGACTCATGGTTATTTCTGTCCTCCTCGGAGTATGCTTTTGGAGAATGCTTTTCTGTCAGCTCCCTCAGCTTCCTGAATGTTCTCCCAGACCATTGTCTTCTGTTATCTGGCAATAACAGTTGGGTTCCTCAGCTTGTCAGGTTTTTCCTGGACTTTAGTAGTAAGAGTGTAGCTAACAGGTCCATGAAGTGATCTTTCCCCTCTGTTAGGCTCTTGGGAGACTGAATCTGGAGTACTGTGTTCAGTATTGGACCCTGTAGTACCCAAAAGTTGCTGTCATACTTGAGTTAGTCTGGCAGAGCCTACCCAGCTGGTGTCAGGGTAGGATTGAAGGCATTACAGACAAGCTGGAACTCAGAACTTCCAAACAGATAATGGGGGAATAGGTAGCTGTGTCCCACAATGTAATTAAGATGTTTAGCTGTGCTTAATAATGCTTGGTGAGGTTGAGGGAGCGAGGGTAGATGTGGTAAGTGAGAGTAGTTGTGATAGTATATAGCTGTGATCAAGGTGAAGTAAATTTCGGAGCTTGGGCACAACTCTCTAAAGTAGAATATTCCAGAACCTTGGTGGACTTCACAAAATACTCATCAAAGCAAAACTCCTTCGAACTGCAGTCTTACATGAGTTTTGCATGTCTTGAATCGAAGAATTTTAATTATAGTTTTCTAATCTTGGAATTAGCATGGGACTTGCCCATGTGCACATAGTCACTCTGTGGATGTGTTTCACTTGCGCCACGTAGGAGAATTTTTGCCTTTGCCACACCTTTACAATACCTATAATTTCTCTCCACTGTGTTTGCAGCTTTACTGCGTTGGTATAAAAACTAACCTAATTAGTAAACCTTTTTCTAAAACAATAAACAGAGTTTGCCATGGAATATTCTGCGCATAAACAGGGCAAGAAACTGTTCAAGGAGGAAACATCTCTTTGACACAAAGCTAGTTAGATGTTTTCCTGTCTGGTAAATGGTTTAATTTAAGCAGTGAGAGCAGACACATCAGTCATGCAGGTGGCACTGGATCTAGATGATTCTGTCCACCCTTTGTAGAAGGCTTAGTGGTGTAACATACTCTTGTAGGAATTGAATTGCTGGGCTTTTAAAACCCTCTGACCTTTGATGAGTAGCTTCAGAAAGACAAACCTGCCATTTGTATCCCCAGTGGATGGAGATACCTGCAGTACAAAGGATTTGGATGCTTAGTCACAAGTACTGTCTTACATAGGGTCATCTCTTGTCTAGGTTTAGGCTGTTCGTTGATCTTGGTGCAGTAACACTGAATAACTGTACAAAAGTGCTTAGCAAACCTGTTTTGAAAGGTAGGAGTCTTAATCTCTAACTTGCTTTCTAGAAGTTTCCTGTTTCTCTGTTAGAGGGAATACAAACTCTGAATTACCTACTTGAATTCTTGCTACCACCTTGTGAGTAGTGAGACAGCCTTTTGTTTTGCAGGGTGGCGTAAGGCAGGTAGTTGAAAAGTGTGTTTTAATCAGAAAGTAAAGGTGGTGCTAGATTGAAACAAGTGTGAGCCACTTGTCAGATTAAAATCTATTTGAGGTAATATTACCATGATTAGTGCAACATAAATGCAATTGTGTGTCTGATAATAGCTTTTGGAGGCACCTGGAGGGTGTTTGATAAATTCTTTGCCTTAATCAGGTTTAACAGAGTTGGTGTTTGTAAGCCATGTTGTAAATCCATGCCATTTCTATGTTCGGAGATACTCACAGAAGAAAGAAGCACTGGCTTTGGAGAAGAAACTGGAAAACTTTTGTTGTAACAGGGGTTCATATCTCCTGCCTTCAGATGTTTTGGAACTAGGTAAAAGATTTAATTTCCAAAGGTCTACATGGCTTAAAATACTACCTTGCAGTATGTTTTGCTTAGTATCATAGTCCTTTTTTTCTCTTCTCCCTCCACCACCCGTTTACATAGTAGAGCAGTCTTTGCATCTTCTGGAATCTACAGTTAAGTCTTTTGGAGAAACATTGTACACATTGTTTGGTGAAGTAGGCTTATATTAAATCATAGAAACAAAACCAGTAGAAGTAAAAGACGCTGCAGTTCTCAGCCTCAACAGACTGAGTGCTTAGGGTAACCAGCAGTTGAAACACCTGGTGATAAACTTACTGTTTTCCAGCATTAGGTGGTAATGGTTAACTGCACATTTTTTCAGTGTGCTGAAATGACAGTAATGGCTAGCCTAATTCTTTTATCACTTCAGTAAATCAGCTTTCTCTCATGCAAGCAACATTCCCTTCAAGCAGATGACATTTTTCAAGTTCACTGACTGGGTAGAAACCATTCTAGAAGTATAAATAAAAGGCAAGAATAATTTGCTAAATTACTGTTGATAATTTTACCCACTTCTAGAATGTGTTTAGAAAATTGATGAAAAGTATTTAATAACCTTATACATCAGTGCTTTTTTGCCACTTTACTAAGAAATCTAGCAAGTTTGCCAGAAATTACTTCTTAATACAAACAAAACAGCTCCTAGCCTTACAGACACTGTGTAAATGATCATGGGGAGAATTTCTTTTGGCTATCAAGACAAGGTTTGTAATGTCTTTGTTTTAGCAATACCACTTTTACTGCCTCTGTGGAAGATGGGAAAAATGGAACATTATGCAGAACTGTAATAATAGTTCCAGTGTGAAATACTTCAAAATACTGAATTTAGTCCTTTCTATTTGCTTCCATATAGGTGCTAGAATTTTTATTAAGAATAAGGAAACTGGAATGTGGTGCCGTGGAACTATCACTGAACTAATTCCCCTAGAGAGTAAAAATCCGAGGAAGCCTTGTGGTCCAATAAGATACAGAGTTTGTGATATTGTGCTGCTGAAAGTATTCCTGACTGATTTTGGAAGCTCCATGGTTTTGATTTTCTCAGGGTATGTTTACAGAGAGAGGTTTTTGTCTGCAGTTGTTGTCCTTGAGTGTTACTGAAGCAGATCTCTACTGAGAAACAAGTCCTTCCTCAACTTCACACAAACAGATAACCAGATACCCAAATGACACTAATATTCTCTGCGTACCTGTTTCCCACAGCAAAAGTGTCAGGGTATTTCAGTACACAAGTGTACAAGCCTTCATACACGGAAATATTTAACTTAGACTTGTGTTGTGAAAGAGGACACGTGAGTCCTCAGTGCTTAAAAAATGCATTTCATTGAGACTTTGTAGGTCTGTTTCATTGACATCACATTATGCCATTTACTGCAATAATGACCTTTATTTTAAGCCTGAGGTTGGGTTTGGGGATTTTTAGGTGTTGGGTTTGGTTGTTTTGCCTTTAAGGTAGTACTGCATTTATTCCTCTTGATATTAGATACAATCCGACCAAAAGGGCTGACCTTGCTGCTCTGCAGACTGTCAGAACAGAGGACATTTGCCTGTTTATAAGGAAGCCTGATAAGCTTATTGAGACAGAACTTGCAGCTGTTCCTCCTTTAGCAGTGCGATGTTCATTGAAGGATGTTGTTCCCAAAAATGCAGTAAGTACAAGCTGGGTTAAGTATTTCAGGAGATCTTTTTTCTTCACAAAATTTATATAAAAGAACTTAAATACATAACCTACAATGGTTTTGTGTCAGTATAAACAGGAGGAAACTCAAGAATACAGATTGTATTTTATTTTTTTTAATTCTCTCTTGTGAAATGATGTGTTGCATTGCTTTCATTGGAAAGGAAACAAACTCACAGCAATCTGTCTTGAAAAGCCTCTGGGTTTACAAATAACTTATTTCAGGCTTAAATCTCACTACTTTTACTCTATGCGTGTTCTTTTGTCAAATTTAAAAACAAACTACAAAACTGATACTCTTACTTCATGTCTATCTGGTAACGTCATGCAAGCAATAACTTTCCAAACTCATCCAAACAGAGAAGAAATGCCTTCAGAACTTTTAAGAGAATTCTTTCAGGGACTGTCCTGTATGACAAACCATTTTAAGTAACGTATTGAAAAGTCTTATTTGTTCTCTTTCAGTATAATAACAAATAAAGTACTGTCAGCCTTTATGCCATTACAAAAAAAAGGGAGTGTATATATATATCTATAGCTCTGGAACAATTTTCACAAGTGTGGGTAAAATGCCTTCCTTATATATGCTTGCTTTTTTTTTCACACCTAGAAAGCACAGGATTTGCAGTATCAAATGAGAAATGCATTCACTTGATCCCAGAGAAGTAAATTCAGGCTTGTTCAAGGCAGATAAAACGTCATGAGGATGTTGTGGAGAAGAGGAATGTGTAAATTCACCAAACTGTTGCACATTTATGTAAAGACACAAGAAGATGATAAGCTTTCGCAGGAGTTGGGAGAGCAGAAATATGAGTCATGAAATGAAACAGCATAAGACAGTTCTAGTTTATCTATGAAAACATTCAGAGGGAATGAAAACTTGAATCTTCAGAAGAAACATGGTGGAAGCTGCAGCCCTTTGATCTGACTCAGTTTTATACAGTTAAATACACTTATTAAACCATCATAGAAGAATTCTGTATAGTGCTGTTGTGGCTATGGACTAGACAGTATAAATGTGTTCAGTATTTCACCTGTTCACATGCCTCTGTGCTCTCTTCCTTCTATTTTATTAATGACTATTTGAATTCTTTTGTTTTAACGTTCTCTGACATCCTCAGTAACTTTTTCTTTCTTTCTACCACAGGATAAGCGCTGGGGAGAGGAAGCAAAGACAACATTGTTAGAAATGGTAAACAATAAAGTCTTTTCAATGATCGTATTCAGAGAAGTGGATGGTGTCCTCATTGTGGATTTGAGAAAACCTGCATTTAATGAAGTAAGCAGTAATATGCCAGCATCTCTCAAGGATGCATTAGTTTACTTAGGCTTGGCAAGGTGAGTGTTGTCCTTTAGTTTATGCTGTTATACCACAATTGATAAGAGAATAATGCCTACAAAGTGAAGTTTACCAAGCAAAGCTTTTTCAGTATTTCATATACACTGCTGCATCCCAAATAAAAGCTTTTTTTAGCAACCAGCTGCCATGTATCACTGTTGATATGCTACATTGTGGTGGGAGAAGCATCAGAGGTAATTGGCTGCACCAGCTGCAAGAAGGAAAGTTCAAGCTATACATATAAACATGAATCGAGTTATTTTTATAAGACCATTTTGTGGGTTTTATGGGGAGCTTGACATCTGACTATGAAAGGGTTCCTTCTCAGTTGATTTTGACTGAATTTATGCAAAACTTTGCTTCCCAGTCTGTCAGAAAACAATACCATCTTGCGCTACAGTCCACCTAATCTTCCACAAGAAGGAGAAGAAATCTTTGTTGTAGTTTGTCACATTAATAGTCCAAGTGATTTCTACCTCCAGTTGGTAAGTTTAGAAATAAGGTCTATGTAAATAAAACTCTGGCCAAACTTCTTAATGCTGAACTAAATAAGCTACATCTTCTGTTAAGTTCTGTTACTTGTTACCAGCGTTAAGATTCCTAAAATTAATAGAATTGGTTTGTTCCTACAGTGCTAGATTGATGTTAGATTAATTCTAGGAATTCTTAAGAGCCCCAGAAAGTTAATATTTTTGTCAGTTTCATTACATTGGTAATTCCTATGTGGGTATGTAGTGTTTACTGATTACAGTGGTGATTGAACAGGGCAGCATTTAACAGTTGTTGGACTCTTTGATTCACTTTATGTATTCATAACCACTTTTTAATTTTGGGTAGAGGACTAGAAAGTGCTAGAAAATAATTACCCCTTTAAAGAGCAAAACATGTCATTAAAAACATAACATCTGATGTGTATTTTGTATTTTGTGGGTTTTGTATTTTAGACAGAGAACCTGGAATCAACAGCTCTTTCAGAGAAAATTCAGGAGGTATATAAATGTGAGCATGGGAAAAACTTGGGAATTTTCTGCCCAGTTGAAGGCCAAGCCTGTATTGCAAAGCAAGAGGATGGGAATTGGTACAGAGCACAGATTATAGGTGAAGTATTGATTCTTTCTCTCTAGCATTGGATTGCAAAATCAGATCAGTCACACACTGAGTGTGAACAGTAGCAAACAGCCGTCACTTTTAACTAGGCATTCTAATATTACCAGGCAGGTTCATAAAGTCAGTAGTACTAATTCACATTCTTTTCCTATTAATGGACTGCTTTATACGCCGGGGGGATTTTTTAGATACCAAGAAGCGGTAGAGTTGGTTTTCTGGATATTATTGAAATTCTATGATACACTTATTTTAAATACTATTTCAGTTACTATTACAGTATGAATTACAGATTTGTCTATTGCAGCAAACCTGTGAGTGTATCTAGTGTTGGCTAATAATGCTCTGTGTTAATTCCGAAGGGAATGAAGGAGGGCTGTGCTTGTGCTGACCTCTATGTTGCCTGTGTGGGCAGTGCAGAATGTCTGTACACTTACATGTCTACTTGGCATGTATTTAGTGTGCCAGTGTCTCAGAAAGTGGTTAGGTAGAAGGGGAGTAAAATGCTCGTGCTGTCATTTCAGGAGCCTGGAAGAGAATACAGATTTTGAGTTGGGTTGTAAAAATGTGAAAAATTGATCTTGTATGATTCTGTTGTAGGTGTGGGTTTTGCTCTGAAATTCTGGTGCTTTAACCTGTATCAGATACTCATTTTTTTGCTTTAATAACTTGGATTGTTTTTCTTGAAGGGCTGCCAAGTTGTCGAGAAGTTATGGTAAAATATGTTGACTATGGCAATGTTGCTACCTTAACCCATGAAGATGTACGCAGAGTGAAGAAGGAGTTTCTGAGCTTTCCAGAAAAGGTAAATCAGTGTTTGCCTGGATTAAACACTCAAAATTAATAGAATCTGTGGGGGAAACAAGAAGGAGAGGGTCATTAACATTCTGAAATGAATAAAATAAATATAAGATGTTAGGCAACGTCCTTTTTGCCTGGGTTTATGATGTGACTTGCTTAATATGTTTGGGTACATGTTGAAAACTTTTTAAATTTTTTTATATTATTCAGTTTTAAATTCAATCTCATATTGCCTTGTGGTGAGGAGGTATATTTACACTGTGTATATACATGTGTGTTTGATTCACATACCTTCTTTATCTCCATAGTAGCTGGATAAGTTTTTACATTCCTTATTATATATTCTAATAATAGTCTTCTAAAATAATTTTTTTTGTTTAGAGCATTTTATGTTTGGTGTTTTCCTAACTTTAGGTGTTGTGGGAGTTTCCCCTTTTGACAAGGAGAAAAATTGAATGGGAAAGGAAATAGCAAAGTGCAACAGTATAAAAAAATGCACATAAATAGAAAATAATTTTTTTCTTCATCTATTCATTGGATAGTTTTGGTTACCAGCCATAATTATTCTAAACTTTGAAACTTCATATGTTGATGGGAGTTTTTAACTGGTTGTAGGCACCAGAAGTAATGATTGTAGGTGAATAAGGGTGTTGGGATTTCTCATGTGTGTTATCCCATTGTTCCAACTGATACCTTATTACTGATCATTAAATTTAAATCCTCTGAAAAGTCAGTTAAGAGTTTGTTAGCTCTTGAGGACTCCTCACTTTGAACATAAAAGGAGAATGGGCCAAAGAGTTACAGACAGATGTGTAGATGACTACTAGAGAATGGTCTAAAGAAACCTTAACCCATCAGTTACTCTCAAATGTCAGCATTCATATGCAGTGTATAGGTTATGGTGTAGCACTCTGGCAAGGTGTTTGTGCTTGAAATTTGTCTGAGAAATATCAAGCTTATGTGACTGTTAGTGTTAATGCAAGTCATACATCAGCAGGCTTGGATCTGCTTCTGTGTTGATGTGGTTTCAAATCTTTTCTATTTAAATAAAATAAGGATTTAAAATTCTTTGAAAGATGAATTAACTCAATATTGCAAAGTCAAACATTCAGAAGGTAAGAGTATCAGAAATGAGATTGCTTGTGCAGCTCTGTCCTGTTGCTTGTAAGTACTGATAAGTCTTCACACGTGCTCACTAGTGCATTGCCCCAAGTGTAAGTTGGTTGTGTAGGAGATTTGAATTAGAAGAGAAGTCACACTTTCTTCATCCCATTTATACAGTTTGCAGACATTCTAAATGGGCTTGGGTGGCTGGTGCAGAAATTTTGGCCAAGGCTGGAATAAGCACTGCATAATGTAGTGTTGATGTTATCGCCCAGAGCCCAGTCTTTTAGTGCTTATTTAACGTGTCAGTCAGACTTACTTTCATATTTCTGACTGCCTGTATCCTAAGAATATCTGCACAAAACATTATTATTGCTATTGCCTTTATTTCCTTTCTCTCCCTTTTCCCTCACCTGTGTTACTCTTTCATTTGGTGCAAGAAACAATAACATTGACAGTGAATTTAAAATTGAGCCATAGTGTAGCCACCAAAGTTTGCAATGAAGATGCTGAACAAAAATTCTTTTAATCAAAGTACTTAACCTCATCTGATTCCTTGCATGTCTCTTTTTTTCTTTTTTTTTATGTCTCCTGATTAATACCTCTCAAAACCTGACAGGAATTTTCTGACATAGTAGTGGTGTTCCTGTGTTCAGACCTTTAGATTTCTGCAATGTATATCATAGAATCTTAGAATTTAGGGGTTGGAATGGACCTTACAGATCATCTAGTCCCAACCCGCCCTGCCATGGGCAGGGACACCTCATCACTTGATCAGGTTGCTCAAGGCCTCATCCAACCTGGTCTTGAACTCCCCCAGCGTCAGGGCAGCCACCACATCCCTGGGCAACCTGTGCCAATGTCTCACCACCCTTAGAGTAAAAAACTTTTTTCTCACATGCAACCTAGGCTTTCTCTCCTTCAGTCTGAAACCACTACCCCTTGTCCTGTCATTGCCGTTTGAGTCCCTCTCTGGCTCCCCTGTAGCCCCTTCAGATATTGTAAAGTTGCTCTGAGGTTTCCACACAGTCTGCTCCAGACTGAACAGCCCCAGTTTCCTCAGCCTGTCTTCATAGGAGAGATGCTCCAGTCCTCTTACCAACTTTGTGGTCCTCCTCTGGAAACTATACTATATATACCATACTACATACAGTGTATATATACATTCATGTTAATATTCATGGGTTATTACACCAGAAACAAAATAGGATGAAGGCTTTCTTTATCACCTCTCTGCAGTAGTCTTTACTGGTCAATGCACCAGCTCTATGCCTAACCATAAAGGAAGGCAAAGAGAAGTAAGCTCATTCTGTTTCAAGGTGAGTGTGTCTGAATTTGATGTTCATACTCTCATGCTGGGAAGGGGGTGGTCATTTTAAGCTAAATCAAATAGTGGTAATGTGGACCCAGAAACCAAGGTTGTGCTGACTTGCATGAGCACAAAACAGTCTGTGATTTGGTTGTAATGAGATGCACTCGATGTGTATGTGATGGTAGATGCATAATTTTGAGTTGTTCTTCAGGCAATCAGGTGTAGGCTGGCTTACATAGAGCCTTTTAAAGGGGCGAGTGAGTGGAACAGAAAAGCCAAGGAAAGATTTGAAGAAATGACTGGAGATAAATTTATGCTGTGTTCAGTTATTGGTAAGTTATCAGCAGTGTGTTAATTTATATTTATGTACTATTCAGTTGACTCAAATGTAGAAACATGCACATTAATGCATAAAATAGTATTTATTTGAAATGTTTGTTCATACTCGCTAGAGGTAGCCTGGAGTGAGAATATCTAAATGTGAACTAATTGAAGGAGGCACAACAGATGCAACTTCTGCCAGAAGCTGTTTGTGTCTTCTTTTACAGACCACACCAGCATTAGATGATACAAGTGTTCTAGTTCATTAATTTGGGCTTGATTCCAAAAGTCCTAGCTATGCTTGACTTTTCCTGACTTCATTGGTGGCTGGGGGTGTGATTACGCCACTCTTAAACAAGAAGTTTGTTGAGATAACACATACATGCCTTCATAGGATTTTTTGCTGTACCATTTATTGTTCATATGCAGCTAGTTATTTTTCAGCCCATATGGAATGATGGTTTGGAATTCATCTAATAAATGGAATTACGTGTAGCAGCTGGTTTCTTTGTACAAAAGTATTTTATAACGATTGTTTTTTGGGTGAGTTTTATAGGTATGTGCAAAGCTAAGCCTCTGCATGTTGTTGGTGTTCAGGATCAATTATTTTATACATCAGATGTAATTTTACCAAATTCTCTCTTCTAGTGCTATTTGTCATGCCTCCAGAACCATAGATAGTCTTTATCCTGTCATTCATTGGCACTAATTGTGTTTATATTATTCCTTCACAGAAATTTTAGATAATAACATCTTATCTATTGAACTCTTTGACTCCTCTGCTGATAACAGAACAAATTTCAGTATTAACTACCAGCTGGTTGAAGAAGACTTAGCGTCCTACGTATCTGGGTAAATACACTCCTCCTAACACAAAGTATTTAGGAGTACTGAATTTGTGTATCAAAATTTCTGGTGTTAATGTCACTTCCAGTGGCTGGAATTTACCACCTTTGTGGTAATTTAATTTGCAAATCAAATTCATCAGCTGGTGTGAGTGTTTGATAGTTGAATTCTCAAACTAAATCTTGATTAAGTTGTAACTGATTCAAAAGTCGAAGATGAAATGTTTGCATCATACTGGCAGTGTCATAGTGCCAGATCTTCCCAAAGTGTTTCTTGTTAAGGTTCCTATTCCTTTGTGTTTAGAAAAGAAATCTATGTGTTTAACCTGTACATAAGAAGCAGTCTCTTTGGAAAGTCTGTTGCTAGAAAACACTCAGGTAACCAGCTATGAGAGGAGTAGGGCAGCAGGCTGAGGGAGGTGAGACTGATAAGGGTATAACACTACTGCTTTCTGTTTGTTGGCTTTTTACAAAAATAATCCATGGGCTGTATTAATGAAAATCTGTAATTACTCTTTCATTAATAATTTTGAGTAGGGATTAAAATGGAGAGATTGTTAAATAGGAGGTTTTTATTCCAAAAGGAAACTCCTGAATTTGCTTTTTTCAGGAGGAAGCATACAAGTGGGTTTTCACCTCTTAGCTCAGAAGTTCAACTAAATCTTAGTAACATCTTTCTTGTACTTGTTGCAGTCAAAATTTTTAGTAGGAATTTTGTAAAGTTAAGCAGCTTCATTTAACCTGAACAGCTGAGTTGTTTTGGTACTGTCACTAAGGTATTTTGTTGGGTTGCATCTATACTTAGATGCCTGCTTCTGGCCTTCAGTCAAGGGGCTGTCATACTTGCTGTGTGACACTGATAACTTGACTAATGGACTTTTTGGTCACTCCCCTTCTTTAGTTGGACTGGGGAGAAAATGAAAGAAATAGGAGCAAGAAAAGTCAGGGGTCAGAAGAAAGACAGAGAAACCACCAAGTACTATTTCATGCTAAACAGGTTTAATTTAACTTAGTTGTCCCTAATTAGCATATGTATTTAATGACCGATTCAGGCATTGGTGCACAAAAGACAGGCATTTATAGTACCTACCCTCCCCCTTTCCCAGGCTCGAGTTTACTCCAAGCCCCTCTCCTCCCACTCCTGCACGCAGGTTCCACTCAGTCAGTCCTTTCAGGCAGGCAGTGAGCAGTGCAGGGGGTTGGGGTCAGGACACGGCAGTTTATCCATGCTGGCTCCTACTTTATTTTTCTTTTCTTCCTGCGCTTTGGCATGGACCTGACACAGGCCTCTGTCCCTTCAGGAGTGTGCCTCTTGGCCCACAAATTGCCTTCCCTTCTTATGGTCTTGATGTTTCCTATATTTCTCTTCTGTTCCCTCTCCTGTCTCCCTGGTGTCCTCTGCCCTTCATTAGGTTGGAAATGGCGTCCCCTTCACTGAGGGGATCAGCCATGTCGTGTGGAGGGTGTGTTGCTGCCTCTTCTCTCAGAAGTCACCCCTGCAGCTCCTGTCCCCAGCAACCAACATTACACCACGTTTTTTAGTTGGAATGATGTTTCTTCTGGGGAGGAGGGGCAAAGGGAGGCTTGGGGGGGTTTGACTTGCTTTGTTTTTCAGTGCACATATATCTCTAGCTCTTCAGACCTCATTTGTCCCTTTCTCCCTGGATTTCCCATTTGTGAAGATGAATGTCTGCAAAAAGGGAAGGGTGGTGAATAGTTAAACCTACGTCAGGTCAATTAGAATGACACTTGCGATGTGATGACTATTCCATGTTCTAATGCTGTTGAGGGGTCCCCAAGCCAGCTCTGAACCAGTTTATACTGGTCTTATGACAATATTAGCAGGAGAGCACAGTGCTCTGTTAAACCTGACTTGCTGACAGGCAAACATCAATAACTTTACTCTTGCGTTGGGATAGGAAGTAGCCTATATACAGAATTCCAGAAAGAAACCTTGGAGTCTGAAGTCCATTCCAAAATGGTTTTTTTCTGATGGATCTGCAATTATAATGTCATACTGGAGTTACTGGAGCGGGAGTTGTAAGACATGTAACATGTATTTCACTTGGGAGAGCTCTCCATGGCAGATTGTCTCTGTCCAGTTCATAGTTCAGAGTAGTTGTTCACAGGTTAAGTGTGTGTATGAGCTGTGGTGTGCATTTCTTTCCCGCTTCTTAAAAGTTTGCTGTTTCACCCAGCAGTTTTTAAATGCCTGCATCAGGAAGGTTTGCATAAACTGTGTAGCCTATATGTAGTGGATGATTCAATACTTAAACACTAAGGTATCTTCTTTCTGATGGAACAGTTTGTTTTCTTACTGTGAAGGAAAAGACAGGTGGTTAGATCTCTGAAAAGAGAAAAGAATCTCTTCCTTGAGGCCCAGGAATGACCAGCAGTGTAACTCAGGCTTGCTATCTCCTTCAGACAGTCATGTTTACAAGAGACCAAGTGTTTTGCATTAAAGGATGTTTCTTCAGGCTGCAATCTGTTAAATCTCTAGTTGGCACAATTCATGCTGACTTGTACTAAGCTGGGCTGTGCCTCAAAATCCATACCAGCCAACTCTGGGTTGCTGTTGGGCTGTATTCTGTCCAGTTTTCATCGAAGTATTACCATGACTACTTCAGCACTACTTAGGAAAGTGTTAGCACCAGTTGTTTCATATTTGTATTCTGAAGGAACACTAGAAGGTAAAATGTTTCACTAAGGTTAATATTTTTTACTTCTGAAAAGAGTATTTACACATTGTGGAAGTTGAATGTTGGCAGCTTTTACTCAGAGGCAGCACTGCTTTCCAGAAGTAATGACATTAGTAATTTTACGTCTTTTAAGCCAGACACAAACATTGAGGTTCAGCTTTCTGCTGGCAGCCTATATTGCATAGTTCTGCCATCTGACAGAAAAATGTGCAAGGATACTTGCCGGTGGAGAACAAAAATCTTACTATCATGAGTGTTTCAGAAGTAGCATTTGTACATGTTTTTGTCTTTTGTTGGGATTTTTTTTCTGCTTTGCTAAGTTATTACTCACTTTTCTTCATGTTGAATGATTCCTGGCTTGTTGAAGTAGGATTACTGATTTTTTTTTCACTTTGCTTAAAATGTGTTTTAACTTCACATTCTAATTATTTTGTGCTCTTTACACCAAAAGGAACAATGAAGGTACTGCAGCAAGGCCCAGTGAAATATGGGATGATCCTCTAGAAGAAACCCCTAAAACCTTGGAAGTTTTAAATCCTACAGACGTGGAACCTGTGGATGAAGAAGATTCCAGATCACTTTTTAATAAAGAGCTACATGGGAGAATTAGTCACGTTGTGTCTCCTAGTAAAATTTTTGTACAATTGCTGTCATCAGAAAGTACACTGAAAAGGTAGTAAAATTCAAATACCTTTTCTTAAGATGTTCTTAGTACAAAGTAGTGAAGTGTGGCTAGAACAGACTGTGATTAGAGTTGCATTTGACACTGTGTATTGTTTGGAAGGCTGCTGGCTTATGTTGCTTTGTTGAGGAAAGTACAGGAACAAAAGGTTGGCACTGTGTTGTGGTTTATTAAATATTTCTGATTCCAATTTAAGTACATGATCTGACTCTTAAATCAGTTTGAATGTAGTTAGTTTTGGGGCCTGACGAATGCAACACTGTTCAGAAAGACTCAGTCCTTCTGTTCTTTGTTTTCTTCTTCCCATTCCTTCATTAGAAATGTTGACAAATAATACCAGTATCCTAAGTCGTAGAAATTATTGTTATTATTGTTGTTATTGTTATTATTAATTTATTTTTTCAGCATGATTCCAGTAAGCTGTTAGGAAGCTTGAAGAAAATTTCTAAATGTAGTGTATCAGCCTTAATTTGGTAGATATTAGGTAACATTTATGTAGTAGTGCATACTGTTTGAAGACAGTTACGTGACAGAAATATCATGGCTTAGTGCAAGTTGCTTATTTTCTTGCTTATCTTTTTACCTTCTTGGACGTAACTACCTGGAGTTCCATTTACTGAGACATTTTTGAATATTAGTTTGCAGGAGGAGATGGCTTCCATCTACAAAGAATCCCAGCCACCATCTGTGAAGTGGGAAAGTGATATGCACTGTGCTGTTCACATACATGATGTGGGACAGTGGCAAAGAGGTCAAATAAGCAGGATTGTCTCTGAAACAACAGCAGAGGTAAACCTCTATATCATAGCAGGGTTCATACTTTTATTTCTAAACTTGTAAGCATTTGTTGGTTAAAATAAGGTCAAGGCTTTGCTTCTTACTTCTGTGTTAGTATTTTCTCATACAATCTTTGCTTTTGTTGAGAGTTTAAGTTAGGTTGTACATTGCTGCAGATAAGATCAAAGCTCAGATGCCTTTAGCAGGGAATGTAGTGGGTGAGGAAGGCTCATGAGGTTGACTTTCTGTATATTTACACTGCACTTCGGAACATGGCACGGATTCCCAAGCTGTAATCTTAACAGTTTAGCTCAGGTTCCAGAAGCTGCATGAACTTGAGGGTCACAGCAATTCAAACTTAATGATTCTTGTTAAAAGATGGAGCCAGTTGAACTGAGTACACCACCACAGGAACACATGCAGTCATGCTGTTGCTTGAGCCCTAAACTGATAGCTATGCACTGTGATGTGTCGTTAGAGCATTTTCCACAGCGACCTCTCACAAAGTGCCATTTTAAATATGCATTTTGTTGCACTCATTTGAAAATAATAAGCATCAGGAAAAGCGTTTTGTGACTGGATATTTACTTGCCTCAAAAATAAGAGTGACTTTTGAATCATGCAGATAATCCAGGACTGATTCACTCCACCATCATCAGGTTATGCCCATAGGTCTTTTTAGCAGAAAGCAGAAGTGGGACTTTCTGTACTTCTGATTCCCATCATCTTCTTTGTGAGCCTGAGAGCCTTCAACCAACTATTTAACCACATCAGAATGAAAACCAAAGGGGTGAAGGGGAGCTATTTCTGCAAACTCTGTAGAGTTGTTTAACTTAACCCCCTTTGGGCACATTTGTATACTTTGTCTTCTTGCTGTGCTGTGGTGTGCATCTGTGTTGTGTGAAGTGCCTCAGTGCAAAGGCCATGCGTTGCATCCTGATAATATTTGAATTTATTTTTTTTTACTTCTTCAGGCATGCTTTGAATTATCAATCCTTAAAGATAAGAGAAGGTTTTTTTCTGTTTCATTGGGGTTTTTGCCTGTAACAGGTAATACTTTATGATTATGGAACTGAAAAAACAGTGGAGACCAGCTGTCTAAGAAAACTTGAGGAAAATTTGAAGATAATTTCAACATTAGCAATAGAATGTTCATTGACAGACATAAGGTAGCCTTTCCCTTATACTGAGTATCAGCATTAGAAACTAATAATGACATAACCTACTGTTTTCCTGTGCTAGCACTGATTATCTAAGATTTGGATGTGGTTTGGTTTTTGAATAAAGAAGAAATGGGGTAGTGGCTGTGATTTTTTTTTTATAAAGGGTTGGGGGTTTTCCTAAGGGTTATACTATGTACCAGTAAAGCAGAAAGTGTGCTATAGAAATAATAATATTTGTAGGATGAATCCTAAAATGCTGAACAATTTTACTGAATACTTTTTTTTTCCCTTGGCTCAGAATTTGAGATGAGTTAAATCTCATGGAAACATACAGGTCTCTCTTTTATAGACTGTGGAAAAGAGAGAGAATCAGGATACTGTCCCATGCATTTGATTCTGTGCTGTCTGTACTATGAAGAGCAAATAGTCATGTTTGTAATACCCATTCCCTGAAGGAATATAAAAAGCCTGATTTGCAGACACCGCGTGGGCCTCCATTCTATTAAGACAGGTGTCATACTTCTAGAGCTCTGATCATCCTCCTATTTTTGAAGCTTTGGGGTTATATTTTGTAATTTTTCCTGTCATAAAGATCCAGAAATTAATAATCATGTCTTCTTACTGTTGACTGTAATGGAGATTTGTCTTTTTTTTCCCCTGACAGTTCAGACAATTTAAAACAAAAATAAAATCCTTGATAAAGGAAAGGGTTTGTGGTTATACTCAGGAGATGCCAACTTATCTTGTGCTAGAGACTATCATTTGTTCTATGTTAGACCAACAGGTGGAACCACACAGTGGACAGCAACAGTGTGTGAATTCTTAGCCTGTTACCTAACTGGAGCACAAGTGAAAATAATCGTACAGGTTTGTCATCAAACCCAGCAGTATTTGTAAAATTTCTGTCAGCCTGTCTGTTAATTCGGGTTTTTTTCTGAATATGTTACCTTTCAAAAAGTACTGAGTGGAACTTGCTTAGGCAGTTGTTTGCTGTAAGGAAAAAGGTGCTTTTTCATCTTTCTGCTTTACTTTTGTCATTCACTGGAGTATTAGAGCAGTTTAGCTACCCAGTGTGGAAAGAACAGAGTCTTAATTATATTTAGTTACTGAAGAATAATATCTGTATCTTTGGAATCACTGGATGCTGACAAACTTTGTGGATAGATAAGCAACATGCTCAGGTTCATGATGAAAATTATTTCAGCAGCTACTGTATTAGTTTTGAAGCCTCAGAGGCTGAAACAATTAATCCAGTGCTATATGAACATCATTAGTAATTGATTTCTCCCCTGGTAAAAAAACACAGGATCATATCAGTGTCTGTTGGCAGCTGCCAGTGAGATTTCACAGTGTGTATGGAAATAAAAGCAGCGATGAGTGAAGTTATTTATGAGTGGGTTTAAAGCTCCTGCTGGAGGAGAGCAAGTGTTTGACAGTTGATTCTAATAAACACGTAAGGGAAGAAGCACTGTTACTTTTTTTTTAATGTCATGTTTAGAACAGTTGGTGGAATGATGGGAACTTGCACAGGGATTAAATAAATTTTGTCTTTTTATGTGGGCATCAGTTGTTTGAGGATGCCTGATTTGCAGTCCATTCCAGTAAATGAAAACTATGTGTGTAGTTTAGAGGAAATGCATATAGTAATGTGTTGTCCATCTCTCTCATTTTTTTCCAGGAAAGTGATGTGGCTGATGTATTGCCTGTGAAAATTCTTTGTGAAGATAAAACAGGAAACATGATTGATACTTCCGAATACCTTATTGGACAGGGTTTGGCTCTTAGAAACAGAAGGTTTGGATTTTTTTCTTCTATATTCTTTCAGACTCTGATACTCACATTTGAATAAACTAATAAGTAAGCCAAAAATGTGTGTTGTCCTCTACAGCATATGTAGCAACAGGACTCCAGGGAGCTGATTTGAGTATAATATCATCATCCTTTGCACTTTTCAGTTCTCTAAGTTGGTAGATGTGATGTTTGATAGTGTTTTAACAAGAATTTGCCACCTTTGTGTGTTTGGTTTTTTACTTCTGTTCATTCTTGCACACTTCAAGTTCTTTGTCAGTTAATATACTGATACGATTTGATTGAATCTGCCAGAACGCGTGAAGCTGATGTGGCTCCCTCAGTCTCCAAGGAACAGCTTAAAGCACCTTTAGAGCAAGAGAACACACAGGTGGATACTTCGAATTCCAGAATTGCCTGTGCAAGAAACGGAGCTGTCCCAGAGGAAAACATCACTGTTTCAGAGAGTGAGCAAAAATCATCCAAGACAGACAAGTCACTGCTGCATTCAGGAATGGATGAAATATATACATCTCCCATTGTACCTGAAGCAAGAGTTTTTCCAGCTGTAGTGAGTTGCATTGGAAACGATGGAACTATTTATATAATACCAAAATCATCTGGTAAGTTTATGAAGGAGAAAATACATTTGTCTATGAGTCTGAGCACTTTGGCATATCAGAACATACGAGATGTGTGTCCTAGCATGCATGTTCTGTCTCAGAACCCTGGAATATTACTGTTGGGAGGAAATGTGTCCTTTGGCACGGGGGTCGGGGGGTGCCTGCCCGTGCCCCCCTGGCCCTGCAGCTTCCCGGCAGAGGAATCCCAAATGCCCAGGAGGTGGCGCCGTGTCCTTAAATCGGCTCTCCCTTCTTCCACCCTGCCAAGGAATCCAAAGACCCTTGGACGGGCTCGTTAGTTCTTTGCCTTTTTTTCTCTTATTGGGTACAGCAGCAAGTGCTTTATTTTATTATGGTGAGATTGTGGTACATTTTAGTAATCATGAAGATACAGTCCTAAAGATTCTTGGAAGTTAGCCTGGTTCTCAGATACTACGGAATTTTTTTTCCTTTAGTTTGAGCTCAGTACCCAATTTCCATGGGCTCTTTATTTGTATTGTGATGGATTCTGTCTCTCTTAATATTTCCTGTTTGTACTGTTCGAATGAGATTGATTTTCATCTGACAGATGCAGTGTCAGTCTTCAGTACCAGGATAATATATTGTGCTTTAGAGAAATATTTACCTATGAGAATGTTAACTTTTTGAACTTTCTTTGGCTCCACAAGTACATTTAACTACTAGATCATATCTTAAAACTTTGAAATTCAAAGTACAGTAACCTTACTTGCTCAATACTGTATCCTTCCAGCAGATGTAGACTGTACCCATAGCAGAAGAGGTTCTTCTGGACACCTGTTCTTGGTGTTTCATGGTGTCCTGCAACTGTCTCTGTGAGTCTGTAGTCTTGTACATGGAGAGACTTCTGTATTAGTGCTGCCAAGGTGTCAGTTAAAAAACTTACAGACCCTTCTCTGAGATTAGAATCCAGAATTGCTAACGGCTTCATGGTTTGAAGTGCAGTTTACTTTCTTTTTTATGTAGCGACTTGTTTGCATATACTTGACATTGAACATACATATTGTATCAGCGTTGGAAAATATTCTTTGGAGGAGCACATGTATTTTATGTTTGTACATGTCTTCATCTGAATCTGCTGCATTTTAGTGATTGAAACAATTTGCACTAAAGTGTGTCAGGCTATTTTGAGTTTATTTATTTTGTTTCTTCCCCTCTCCCAAGAAACTATGCTAAGCAAACTGATGACTGAAATCCAAAGCACCTTCAAAGGCCTTGGTCTTCTGATACCCTACTGGTGGAAAAAGGGAGAAGCTTGTGTTGTAAGAGGATCAGATAGCATGTGGTATCGAGGTAAAGTTGTAGAAGTCAGTGGTGGTACTCTCCAGGTAAGTTTGACTTACGGCATGTGTGTTGTGTGTGTGTGTGTGTGTGTGTATGAACATGTGCATATGTATTTTAAAAAAAAAAAAGACAAATAATCCAATCCTCTAAAATAAACTTTGGATTCCACAGTTTTTCATTCAGCTGACCTGACTATCCAGATGGTCATTCTGCTTAAAAGTGTCATTAGTGTCCTCATTTTCACATGAATTTGAAAGATGAATTCTGTCCACCCATTTCATTTGTCACAATATTTTCCGTAGCTTTCCTAGTAATGACAAATTTTCATAAGTAAAAAACTAGCCTTGGTCATCTGTAATTAATCCTTTTTTAGTTTTTTTTTTCTTCTTTTATTGTTACTGTTACCATGTGCAGAATGCTTTGAAAACACTTAGTTTTAGCATCCCTCCTGCCCTATCCCCACCCAAAAAGCAGCGGCTGTTTGAGTTGTTTCTGCTGCACAGTATGGAGTGATTCTTTCTCGTTAGCAATCAGTCTTAGCTAAGCTCTTGAGTCTGCTCATGATTTTTGAATGTAGATCTGCAACATGTGACACTATCCTAGATCGCACTATCTTTTTCCTTTCAGTGTTAAACAGCTCTGGGTTATTAACCAAAATGTAGGAATTTTTCGAGAGAAGTTTAGAAACTGAACTTCTAAGCTGACATACTGGTTTTTTAATCCTGTCTTTCATTTCCACTTTGTTACGTTTCCTACTTACCAGCACACCATTATGTTTCTTCCTCCAAGAAAGTGAATGCTGTAAATGAATGATTTCTCTTACTAAACTTACCTTAAAAAATGGGAATGGTTTCAGGCAAGCTTTGCATTTCAAATAGGTGCAGTACATAGACCATGGTTACATAGAGAGCATTCCTCAGTGTCATCTGTATCCAACTACACTGTATACTGCTATTCCTCCATTTTGCATCCCATGTCAGCTCTACAAGACGTTACCGGTGAGTAACAGCAAATTTGTGTGTTAGTAGGTAGTTGCTCAGATCAGTGGCCTGTTTAGTCATACAGAGGTTGAGAATAGTTTCTGGTATTTTTTCTTGACTGTGAGGATTCAGAGAAGAGCTGATGAGGATTGTTTCAGCAAAGCAGCCTTTTATCAGGAACTGACAGGTTGCTTTATGACAGGCCAAGAGGGAATGGCTGACAGAGGGCAGGTTTAGGTTTAATATTAGGAAGAAATTCTTCGCTGTGAGGGTGGTGAGACACTGGCACAGGTTGCCCGGAGAAGTTATGGATGCCCCAGCCCTGAAGTGTTCAAGGCCAGGTTGGATGCGGCTCTGAGCAACCTGGTCTAGTGAAAGGTGTCCCTGCCCTTGGCAGGAGAGTTGAAGTTGAACTTTACAGTCCTTTCCATCCCCAACCATTCTGTGGTTCTATGAAAGACAGGCTTAGAAACCTACGGGTTGGGAGGCAAACAGATACTGCAGGGAATAAAAGAAGTAGTTATAAAGTATTGTGTGTTTTGTTCTCTGTTACCTTTGGGTTATGCTTCAGATAATTGTGCACATGTACATTGTTAGGTACATGGTAAAGGTTAGACTTGGCAAGCAGCAGCTCTTTCTGAGCCACTTTAGGATCTCAGAACTGTGGGTTGGCATTGTCACATAAGTTTTAATGCACCAAATAGCAGATAATGTTTAAACAGTTGTAGACAAATCAAACTAATTCTGTGTGTTTTCAAATAAGTTTTCTAATGATAGTCATGTATTTTCATCTAAAGAACAGAAAGAGTACTACTTATCAGCATCTTAATGTGTGGGTTTCTTGCTTTTCACCAAATAGATTGGAAATTTTTGGCAGCAGGATGCAGTAGAATGCCTTCAAGAACTACTTACAAATGAAGAGGTTGAAATACATGTTCAGGTAGCTTAATTTATTCATGGATGTAGAAGGAGGCTTACTTTTTCTTTGTTTTTCCTTTTAGCTGCCGTTAATGATAAAAGGAGGAGTGTAGCAGTAAATGTGTATCTTAGACAAAACAAAAACCAAAACTAAACTTACTTCTTCTGTGACTTTACTTTTATCATAGTCTTCAGTCCTTAAATGTCTCCTTTAGAGGTGCTCGTATTTTTTCATCGTGTTTATATTCTGTGTTGTCATTCTGGCAAGTAACCTACCTACCAACAGCATACATTCTTCTGAGTTCTATTTTAAGTGATTAAATCTTGACACAATTAAGTATGGACATGCATAAATGTATATATTAACATTATAGGGAAACACATCCTCAGTATTGTCTGAAAACAGACAATTTCAGATAGTTTAATGAGAAGTTATGACAGAGGTTTGCTGAGTGAGCAAACATGGGGTAATATTTCAGTGTTGGAATGAGTAGTTGATGCTGCCATTCCAGAGACAGATATATTCCCGTTTGTGTCATAACTGATGTTCATAGCTATTCTTACTGGTCTTCTATCCTTGAGGATTGAGTATGGTGCTTATCAAGCATGACAGGTTTGAATTTCTTGGTCAGTGTTTCTGAAATCTCACTTACACTTTTACTGTTATAATCCTGTTTTGCCTTGTGTAAATAGGAATTACCTGATAACCCATGGGGGAAATTGTCCATTGACCTGTATTTTGGTGGAATGTCACTTTCATCCTTCCTGGCACACCAGAAGTACTGTGTTGCTGAAGATGGTCAGGGGACACAGAACCTGGTGAGATGTCTCTCTCTGTGTGTTTTGCTGTTGCTATTCTAACATTAAAAAGATTGCTCAGTTGCTTCTTGTGACCTTTGAGGATTTTTATATTGCTGTACAGTTTTGCGATGTTCACAGCAGTAAGACTAACTACAGAGATCTGTAGCATAACAGGTGTAGATAGGATGTGTTAATAAGATTGTATGGAATAGGGAATTGCCAAGAGTTTGTTCTCGGACTCTGTAAATGTAAAGGGATTTTTTGCATTTCTCTTTGACGTCCAATTAGGTTTTGCATTCCTCTAAAACCTAAAGTGATAGGAATAGGGTAACGTTTTTGCCACTTGAAGAGATTAGTTAATCATAGAAATATATCCAAAGATGGAGATACTCCAGAGTAAATTGAATCAAGTATTTCAGCATAAACTCAGTGATTTCTAAATTAATTACCTAGGTTCTTTATGCCAAGTGTCTGGGATATTTATCTGGTGTTCTTTAGGGAAGGATTGAAATTTTCACCTAACTTCATGGTTTTAAAAAAAAAAAAAAAGCTACTTAAGTAATTTCTGTGTTTCCCTTGAAATCCAAGGATCTGGTTTATTTAAATTGCTAAGGCTTTGTTACTGCGTTCTTCCCTTGATTCTGTTTAAGGCTGCCCATGTATTTTTCTTTCCAGTATACGTCTTTGCTTCAGAAGATAATTTTACAGTACAGAGTACACTGCTGGCCTAAGCCTTGGATTGTATGCCAGTAGGCTCGTGATGCAGGCAGAAAACTCTCTCAGTCTATACTGGAACTGAGTAACCATGAAAACCTCCTTGTAAATCGATCTCTTGTGCTGACTTTATGAAAATGCAATGACACATGATTAGCTTTCAGCAGAATAAATACTGGTTTTGAGACTGTGCAAAAATGAAAAACAAAAACGAAATTTGGGAAACAAAAATGAAGGTTGTAAGCAAGAAGCTTTCAGAAAGCCTGGAATGCTTTTCTCAAGAATATAGTATTAAGCTAGTCCATTCCAGGGATAAATGACTCAGAACAGTTTGTAAGAAAACTGATATCAGCTGTAGAGAAGAAAAGAAGCAAGGCATCCAGGACTCGAGCTGGTTCCAGGATCAGAACCTCAGGAACAGCAGAAGTGGAAAGCATGCAGCTCTGAGAATGTTCAGACATAATCAGCTCCTGGTTTAGCAGTAGAGGCTAAGCAGCCATTCTCACAAGCCAGCTGAAGTGTACTGTTATTATATAAGACACAGCGATTACATGTTATTTTATTCTCTAATTTTGTAACTTTATTTCATTGCTTCAGACCTGTGGTTTTGGGTGAGTAATACGATAAGGACTGTGTTCTGTTCTGTCAGTGGTATCATTCTGTCAGAGCCCACTGCACCTGTGTCTTGCTGCAGTGTGTTTCTGTCTCTGAGGTGCACTTCTGTTGAGCTGCACTGGCAAGTTTAGGAGCTGGTGTTTGTTATCATATGGCAGTCCTAGCTTAGCCATCAGCCAGAAAAATTCCTGGTAGGAAGTAGGATACTGGAGAATACACCAGAACCCTGAGCTTGGTGATCTTACAGCAGTGAATCTCATTCTAGGTGCAGGTGTGCATGTATGTGTGTATGTGTGTACACACGTCCATGCACTTCCATACTGACCTGTATATACAAGACTGTTAACACTGTGATGGGGTTTTGATATGGTTTTTTGGGAGATGGGGGTGGATTGGTTGGATGGTTTTGTGTGTTTGTCACTGTGAGTCACAACCAAGTAGCCCAGTGCTGCTTTTGCTCATGTTTTCAGGGATAGGAGAACTATGACCTTGCTTCATTTGACAGACAAGTTTTACTCTTCATTCTAAGCTCAGACTTAGCTATCAATAATTTCTAGGATTGCTTTTCCTACAACAGTTGACTTGAAACCATTTCTAACCATCTGAACCAAAATCAGTTAGAAATTCCTTGTGCAGACTATTATATTGAACTGCATTGCATATCGGCCCCTTGGCAGTGAGGTACTTGAAGTCTGCAGATTGTAAACTCATAATCTCAGTGAACAGTTGTTCAGACTTACATCCGAGTCTACTCTTGTAGATGGCATACTGAAAAGTGTTAATCAAGTAAGTGTGTTAAAACATACTTGAGAGAAATTGTAAGCTTTGTTATGCATCATATTAAAGTACAGGAGAGAACAGGAGCTGTGTCATGACCTATGATCCAGCTGAGCTGTGTGCTGTGCATCCTTAGAAAGGTGTTGTTTAATACACCAAGGTTTATTTTGTTGGGAACCAAATGAATTAATGACATATAGAAATCAAATTGTAAAATTCATGATTCTAGAAGAAGACACACTGGAGAATGCTGTGCTGCTGAGAAAATGTGTATCTGTCACCTTTTTGAAGGAGTGATAATTCTGGTGGCTTAGGAGTCAGTTTATTCTTTGCCTTGCTGTTAAGGAATACCTTGCTCTGGCAAACTGCAGTCACATCAGGCATGGCGTTCAGTGTAATTCGTGCCAATTAATTGTTGTGGTTTTAGTTTTTCTTTCTAATTTTTTTTCTTTAAAGGGAATTCTATATTTAATGCATTTTTTAATTAACAGCAATGTCAGCATGTCGGTTTGTTCAGATCGTTTCACAGATACGTTCTTCGTATTTTAAAACTGTTAATTAAATAGTTCTCCTATCTTTTATCTAAAGCTTAAAAAAAACCCTTAAAACTATTGGAATGAAAAGCTGATTAATACTTTTTTTTCATCAAGGACACACTGTTTACATTATTTGGTAACTCCTTTGATGCAGAAATCATACCAAAGCTGGTTTCCATTTTGTTACTAAATATGATGCTCAACTAAAGTCTGTCTTGGTCTAGGAGCTGTTTGAAGAAGACACTGCTCTTGTGCCTTCATATGTGTTGCCACTACTACCTGTTCCAGGAGATACCTTTTCTGTCAGAGTTACCCATCTGGTGTCCCCTAAGGAGGTATGTCTTGTAAACATCTCAGATATGTTGCAGTCCCATCAAGCTGGTGAAAAGGAAATGATGGCTAACAATTTCAGAGCACTAGAGGGGTTGCAAAATGGTACTGTGAGTTATTGATGCAAGTGGTTGTGCATGGCAACTGCCTGAATGAACTCTTAATTGAAATACCTTGTTGAGAAGGGGCAGAGTAATGCTAGTCATTTCTCTAAAAAAAATGAATTTTAAGAATTGCAATACTGCTGTCTGGTATTACCTTGTATAGTAAGAAAATAGGCCACTGGATTTTAATCTGGTAGAACAACAGCAATTTTTGTGTAAGCCAACACAACTTCCTGTAGTTCGAGTGATCAAATGTGATGTGCAGTGATCAAATGAAAGATTCTTGTTTGGACTGTGAATGATGAAATAGAGAAGAAGGGGGAGGAAGGATGGGAGCAAGAAATCTTTTAATAATCATTGATCACTGATGAAATTCAAAGTTTCTAAGTCATCTGCAAAAAATGTAACACGAGAGCCTTTTCTTCGAGTAGGTCTATATTTGCTGTGATCCTCCTGAGAACCCTGTGGAGCAGTGTGCCGCAGAGGGAGCTGCCAGCTGCAACTCAGAGAGCCTTGATGAAACCCTGAAGTGGTGCAACAAAATTGTGAAGTCTTTTCCTCTTCTAACAGACTTCAAAGAAGGTACCTTAGTGTGTTTCTGTTCCCTGCTGTTTCATGTGGGCGTCCCAAAAGCCTGAATTTCCTTTTGAAGAATAGGAATATTTCTATTTCTATGGATCTTTAAATAAAACTTTTGGAGAGTAAGGAGTAATACTATACTATAATCATATGATACACTCTAATAATATGTTTTTACTTTTCATTAAATTGAGGCTTTTGTGTCATTCTACTCCACTGGAAAATGATGGACAGTACTCAGAGTTCTGATGCCTGTTAAAGTTACAAACTGTGTTTAGATTGCATATGGCAGTAATAAAACCTTTCCTTTAAGGTTTCTGTCACTGAAGCTGTAACTGTGACAATCTACCTATATAAACATTCAAAAGACAAATGTTATGGTCAGAAGTCATGTTACCAAGGTTTAGAAGTTAGGAGAACCCAAAAGAGCATCACTTTAATTCTGGGTTTCTCCATTTAGGCAAAAGATGGGCTTTAATTCTCTTGTCCACAGCTGATGAGCTTAAATAACATAAAGTATGTGGGTCTAAAACTTCAGTGAAGAAAGCAGATATTGCTGGTACATGATTCTCCCAACTAGTAAAATTCTGGTCGAGTTTTTAGGCAGCATCTGCCTTGTGTCCTCCAGACTTCTCTTACACATCAGTCTGTTTACTGACTGAAATCTGCAGATGAGTCAAAGTTGAGAAGTTTAAGCATTAAAGTGTTTGGGTCCCTATCTTTGCAAAGCAGTTTTTGGTTATTTCTCATCATTGCCATGTGACACTTGACTTAAATTGCAAACTACTGATTGTGAATTGGAGTTCAGGGAGAACTGGAGGATGCATAGAACAACATCATATCATGAATTTGAGAAGGAAGAGGAAACTTGATCTCACTCACGAAGCAAAATGCATTTTCAAGTTCAGTTTGTACTGCACTGAGGATATTCTGGGATGTTTTGTGGTGTTGCCTTTTGTTTTCCTTTGTACAGAACTGCCCTGCCTTGCAGAATATGTGGATGGTATATGGTATAGAGCAAAGATGCTCTCCATTGCACAGCCTGACCCTCTTCTGATCCTGGTTCAGTTTGTTGACTATGGTAGTTACCAAGTTGCCCCAACAAGCAAGTAAGTATGTTAGAAAAAAATGCATGTAAAACGTGTGTGTATGTATGTATGTGTACACTTATATTATAAAACATGTAGTTATAAATAAATACATATTTTTGCATTTACTATTATTTATTTTGATGTAATTACATATGTATTGTTTCTCATAATTTAGCATTAGGTTTCAGTTGGAGAGAAAGTGGGTTGGCTGGTTAAATAATTTCTGTCCACAGGGTATGGGGTTGTACACCTGTTTCTCTGTCTCAGGTTGTTCTCAGAAGCCCATTATTATCATATCAGATTGCTCCATTATCTCTAGTTACTTAATCTGTGAGGAGGCTCAGGCGTATAATCTGCTTCTGCACCCAAGCAGCTTACTCAGTGCAAGGACTGAGCCCTCCAGGTGTACAGACAGATCCTCCAATCCTGTGTGACTGCAGCTTGAGAATAAGATAAGGGATAAGGGAGTGTCTGAGTGGGACACACACTGCTCTGCATGTGTGGAAAATTGAAGCTCAGGTCCCTGTTCTGCCTGGTGCTGAGCTGCTCTCAGAACTGCCCCTGTGCTGACATGCAGATGTCAGCTGAATGTCTCAAACACCCCAGGCTTTTTTAGGGTTCCCTAAGCTTGTCTGAATTTCCCATATGTATGTGTGTGTATGCATATGTGTGTGTGTGTACATATA